AGTGATTTGAACAACTTACTAAAATATGCACACAATGCACAATCTGGTCCCATTCTAATGATCAGTCCCAACTCTCATCCACGGGCTCAAAGGCTCTCATTCATAAGCCCTAAGCTCTGATTAGCCCACTCACTCTCCCTCAAAAAGACATTATGTGGTCGCCTCAGATTCTGCTCACTCAGCCACCCCCACCTTGCTTTCCCTGCTTGCTCTTATGCCCCTCAAGGCTCTTGCCTGACTCCCCATCCTTCCAGGCATAACTGACCCCTTCAACCCTATCTTGTCTCTCTCCCTTTATCCCTACAGAAGCTTTCCCTAAGATATACTAAGCACTTATCATCTAGCCTAAAATTCTGCAAATGTATGCATTTTCTCTAGAATGAAATATTAATTTGTAAAGACTGTTCTACTTCATATAATGTTGCTTTCATGTAATGCTTTACAGTTAACAAAGGAACTTCATATTATTATTCTCAGTAAGTATGTCAGTGACTTGAAAGTTTGGAGTTGGAAATACCTCAGTAAGTACAGTGTTTGCCTGGCATGTGCAAGGCCCTGGGTTTGGTCCCCCCTCCCGCCAGAGTATAAGTGGAGGTATTAGTAGTATGTGCAGGATACTCAGCCAGAGAGCTCATCCCAAAAACATCTAGGATAAGGAGAATCTTCCTCCTGACAATTGTTAAGTATTAGTTAACTGGGAGAAAGCGTTCAAGATTGCATAATTAAAAGCAAAACCCTTTCCCCCCAAAGCATCCCAAATACAGATCAGGATTTCTAATTACTTTCTAATAAAAGGAATCAGAGGCTCCTTGGAGAAATCGCTCATTCTAGGGCTAGTGCAAGAATACACTAGATAAGACTAGAGCGTCTTACTGGATTAAAAATGAAAAATTCTCACAAATTATAGACTAAACAGGCCTTAAAAAAAGATAAATAATAATAGAGGACATGAAGTTGGGAGGGGGGCAGTAAGGTGGAGGCAGAGAGGGGAGAAGAGATCTGAATATGATCAAAATACCTTGCATGAAATTCTCAAATCAATAAAAACATTTTTCTAAAAAAAGAAAACTCTCAAAAACCAAAACAGGATGGGGCATATCAACAGGGCACAGGACCTATGAAAGAACTTCTAATAGCCAAAGATGAAATAATTTCAACAAGGTCAACAATAGTACTGGATTAAGAGCACATACAGATATACCTAAGTAACTCCACAAATGGGAAGAAAACCTAAAAGAATGCCAAATAACACACACTATCCTCTTCAACAGCTTTAACTTAGCCCTGACTTCTGAGTCAGAGATGAAATTACTTTGCCAAAACTGCCTATGGAGAGGAAAAAATAGTAACTTCAGTAGAGAAACCTGGACACAACCACAGCTCCTTTACTCAGGGTGACATCATGCAGTGACACTGAGTCACCCTACCCAGATGTGATCAAAAGAGAACTGTACCCCTGTAGAGTTCTTTCCAAGGACTCATCCCCCCGCCCCCAAAAGGAGAAGAACCAGACAATTCCAAACCAAGGGATGACACTCATCATCATATCTAACCCATATGCCTCAAAATTGTTGGTCATAAAAGTCAAGGCAAAGACAGAAACTCAAGGATCAGAAAAGAAGAAATGACAGCTAAGAGGAACAGTGCATCCTAGATTGGACTCTGGAACAGAGAGTGACAGAAAAATATTGATGTTTCTTAGTGGCAAACACACAAAAGAAATATAGATCCCCTTAGGGGAAACTGAAATTAGGTGAGGAGTACATCTGCAGACCTTCTCTGAAGGTCTAAAAATATTTCCAAATTAAGATTCTTCTCAAAAGAAAACTGCAAAGATCTGTACAAGTCCTTTGGGCAAAAAGATTGAGGGAACAAAAGCCTTAACTTGGTCTAAACAATATAAAATCTGAATATGAATGCCTATGAATAAAGGCATATTAACACTTTAATTTTGCTAGATGTTTGAGTCAATAGAATTATTATTTTTTTTTATGTATGTAGGAGGCTAAAAGATAAACTATGTGCTGATCATGGTGCTGCATACCTGTAACTGTCAGGCAAGAGTTTACCTAAAACCACTGCCCCCCAAAACCTCCCCCTCCCAACCCTAAAACAAAATATAATAGAACCCTGTCAGTATCAAATGTTCCCATTTAATAAGAGTTTTTTTATGAAGAGCTTAAAAAAGTCTACATCTTAAAGGCACCTCAATCAGTCATCTGATAGAGGTAACCCATAAACCAGTTAGTTAGCACACATGAAAAGGAGGCAATGTTAAGATGCAGAGATACCTTAGCACCTACAATACACAATATTGACTTTAGGTTCAAATTACCCCTCTCAGAATGGCAAAAATCAAAAAAAAAAAAAAAACAAAAGCCGGTATCACCTTATCCCAATAAGACTGGCTAGGATCAAGAAAACAAATGATGCCAAATGCTGGCGAGGATATGGAGAAAGGGAACTCTTATCCACTTCCACTGCTGGTAAGAGTGCAATAGTATAGCTGCTATGGAAATCAGTGTGGAGGTTCCTCAAAAAGCCTGAGACTTATCTACCATATGACCCAGCCATACTACTCTTGGGCACACAAGACTCCATACCCTACTACAGTCATACCTGTTCACCCATGTTCATTGCTGCCCTTTTCATAATAGCCAGAAGTTGTGAACAAACTAGATGTCCATTAACTGATGAATACATAATGAAGGTGTGGTATATATACACAAGGGAATATTATTCAGTTCTTAAAAAAAAAAAGAAATTATGAAATTTGGAGATAAAGGATGAAATTGGAAACGATCATCCTGAGTGAGGTAACTCAGGCTCAGACAGACAAGTCTCACATGTTCTCTCTCATAGTGGATGCTAGCTTTGAAAGCTTAGATATGTATGTGTCAATTTGAAAATTCAGTGAGATCATGACACTAATAAATGGCTATGGGGGAGGCAGGGGAGGCTTCCTGGGAGGGGTAGTAGAATGCAGAGGTATGAAGGGGAAAATGGGAACATTAGACTAGGAAGGCTTAAAGAGAATGGAGAATGGGAAGGCAAGGCAGAGAAGGGAATATAGGGATGGATAAGTAACACTAAAGACCTTTAGACAAAGTAATATGGAGACTTATCAGTATAGAAGCTTCTTAAAGTATATATATCATAAAAAGATTAAAAGGAGTTAAAATAGGGGGACACTGCCTTTTCTAGATATCACAGGTTAATGGGGGGGGGAAGATCCTCAATATCAGGAATGGACTCCCTCTGTAGAAGCTGTTGACCAGGGGTCCCACAGATCCTCAAACAATACTGGCTATTGCCCCTATTCTTGGTTCCCCACCAGAACTGGATGGTTAAGACTCTACTGCTAAAGGCACTACATACATGAGCTATAGAACAAACAAGGAGAGTTCAAGCTGGTGCTGACTTCAGAGTCTCATCTCTACTGGCTAGCTTTCTTAGTGCTGGAAGATGCTATAAAAGCTACCAGAGGAAAAAAGTTCTAAAAAAGTAATCATTAACCTTACCCAGCTGTCTTTGAATCCTGTGAACCACAATAACAAGTGACCTGGCAAGATAGACTCACTGGTGCAATAGTGGCACAAATAGTATGGGAGTAACCAACCATTCTTTATTGGATTTAAGGTCCGCTTCATAGGATGGAGCCCATACCTGACACTGACATCAGGCTTAGGAAGCTGAGGCTAAACAGATAACAGGACATAGGGGAGAACCCAATACTAGTTTTCTAGTAAATATTTATCATATTAAACTGACTCTTAATGGCTTATTGTTATACCCATAGATTAATGTATCTCTCCAACTCTCATAAGTTTCCTTATACAACAGATGAGTAACACAGAAACCCACAACTGGCCAATGTGCAGAGAAGAAACTGTGGAGTGCTTAACCCTGAATATAACACCTATTTCAAACTTCTGCCTCCCAAGGCTCAGGGATTATTGCAGAAAAGGGACTGAAAGACTATAAGAACCAAAAGTGGCAGATGACCACAAAGAAACAGTTTTCCAGACAGCTGATCAGTTACTCAAACTCACAGCAACAGTGACATCATGCACAAGTTCCATGCAAGCTCAAACCAGAAAAAAAAAAAATCTCAGCATAGACATGAGGAAGTGGAAAGAAGCTCCAACCCCACTTAAGGAAACTGTGTCAACAGATGGCTACTGGGAGGGACAGAGACAGTTTCTTTCAAGCATGGAGCCATGGTAGGTTAACCAAGCTCCATAGGATGGACCTATAGGGGACACGAATATAGGCTAACCAAGCTCCACAGGATGGACCTACAGGGGACACAAATATATATTTGTATATATACACACACATATATATATGAAATGGAGTACATTAAATTGGGTGGGGGCAATAAGGGGAGGTGGGAATAGGAGAAGGGATCTAAATAAGATCAAACTGTACTGTATATAAAAAAATACAGATATTCAAATAAAAAAAGAAAAAAAAAGGCAAGTCCTATTCTGAATTTCATAATACAAAAGCCAGAGATAAAGTGAGGTACTTACTTGGTCTATAAAATCAAAGTCATTAGAAATAATGATGCACAGTCAGGTATGGTGGCTCATGCCTGTAATTCAAGCACTTGAGAGGGGAAGGCAGGATCAAGAGGCCAGGCTGGGCTACTCAAGATTCTGTCTGGGGAAAAAAAAAAAAAAAAAGGAGAGAGAGAGAGAGAGAAAGAAATATGAAAGAAATAACCATGCAATGATGCTGCAAATATAAAAATGATTTAAAAACCATCCAGACTGAAGATACGCTCATATGAACATGATTATAAATGACTGACGTCTATCTCTGTAGGTAACATTTTAAATTTGGATCCAGACTATATGCAAAGCAGCTAAAGAATGGTTGCAAATAACAATGTAACTCAGTAAACAGGTTATCAACAGTACACTGAAAAGATAGCTTAAGGTAGTAATCTGAAATTAACGATAATCAACTTTTATTAATAAAACATCTATTTCCAGTCAAGTAGACAGATGTTTTATTAAAACTGAAAGGTTACACAATTTTTCTGAAGGTTTCACAGAATTAAGCTAGCCTAACTATTATGTAAAGTAACAGGAAACATAACCCCTCCTGTTGACCATCACTGCCATACACATAACAAAAGATCCCAAACAAGAAAACTAATACAATGAGTAACTGACTCAACAGTTTAAATATGACAGTTTAGTTAATAGTTTGGACTGTGGTTGATCAATATAATTCCATAGAAAAAGGACTTTATTATAGCAGTCACAATTTCAAACAGGTAGAGTACATATGTAAATAAAAATGAACACCAAGGGGGGCTCTAGGAGTAAACAGTAGTGTTAAGTATTATATTATAGTTCATGCTATATCTCAAGTGTGAATTGTATTGTGATACTTATGAAATATCTTTAATACAACCTCCAAAGTGTTACCTCCAATCTTGGTGTCATTAAGGGCTTAACACAGTCAAGTAACTGGCCAAATCACATTTTTGTTTTAGCATTTTAACATCAATTATTTCCTCCTTTCAATAACTCATTTATTGCATACAGCAAGATTTCAGATGATAAACATTTTCTGTTCATTCCTAAGTATTTTACAGACCCAAAATAGTCAAACACAGGGGAAACAATGAAAAAATTAAAGAAATCACTTTCCACCCTCCCAACTACCAAGCTATGCTGGGAGACAATTCTTAATTCAGAAGGGGGCTGGGAGAGAGGGAGGCACTAAACAAACCTCTTAAACGAAGAAATTAGACTAGCTTAGTTTCTTTAACATCTTCTTTAATAAGACATTACAGCACACAAGTGAGGCCCCCACATGTGTCCGTTGAACACAGGATGTACAGCCACATGAAGAGAATGGAAACAAGTGGAGTCTTGCTGCCATTCCCTTTGACAACTAACGTAAATACAGAATACAAACAAACCAATTCCTCTCCGGCTATTTTATGTCAAGTCTTTGAAGACACATAATAGTTTATAAACAAACTTTTCTGTGATCTGTTGAAGAATCTTCAAATTAAATAACAAAGGTGTTTGAGACTTATAATTTTCTCCTTATAGCAGATTTTAAGGACTGTACTGATTATCTCCATGTTAAGAATGAAGATCAACTATTTTCCTATCACTGAGATACAGAGTTAAATATGGTGCCTTCTTCAGCTGCTCATAAAATAGTTAAATACAGAGCAAAAGTTTTTTATTTTTCTGAATTACAGTCAGTAAAATGGGAGGAAAAAAAAAAAAGCAAAAAAACTAAACCAGAACTTATGAATGGGCTTTAAATGTTACTAAAAATAAACATACATATGCTCAAAGCACTTTCAAAAACCTTTAAATTGCAATTCAACTAGAACTTCTGCAAAATCCACAAGAAATCTGGTAAAATTCCAATATTCTAGTTATCAACATATTAGGAAAGGAGTATCAAATGTGAAACCTAGGCAATGAAATACACGAAACAAAAGGGCTCTCTTTCAAGTGAAAAGGTCTCGGGATTTGCTGTGAGCTGTGAGCACTGAGCTTTTCCTTACAAGCATCTCACTTCACACTTAGTGCAGACAAATGAGGTGGTCGGCACAGGCAAAGCTACAGAACAGATGCAGTGATAAGTTACAGCAAGAGGGAATGCATTTGTCATCCACAGGATCAAATACTCTGCTCTAGTCGTTATCAGGACTTATTTTAGTGTTCTTCCTAGTCTGTTAACTTTTAAACTGAGTTATAGCAGTTTCACTTGTACAACAGTTAACAAAACTAGAACACTAGCCTTCCTTTATTGGGCAGAATTTATCTTATCCAACTGAACAAAAGCCACTTCTCCATTCTTACAAGCCAAGAGAATGTGAATACTGGCCTATTTTAATACTTTCTTAGTTCAGATAGAAGTCAAACTGTACACATAGTCTTTGATTTTAGAAACCAGCACTAAGTAAATTCCTAAAACCATGATTATACTTTAAAAAGGGAGAATGTTCTGGGAATTAACCAGCTACAGGTCATTCCAATCTTTCTGTTAAACGTAAAATCCATTCATAAAATTAGCTAAATAACTTCCAAAAACTGTAAAAAATATGGTTCAATTCCCAATTAAAGAACTTGAACAATTTGCAAAGAGCTCATTATAAGATACAGTTCACAACTGTTCCATCATATTTTGGCTTAAATAGATCTAGTGCCCATTTCATTATGGCATATACTTCAGAACCTAATCTTTCAGAAGGGCTCCCTGACAATCCAATCACTTTTATTAATTTATCAATTATTTACAGTGCATTCCTGGCTGGCAGGTAGAGTCAACTCATTGAGCTTCCAACTTCAAACACAGGTAACAATCAGAAGTGGGCAATGACACATAACTGCAAAGACACCAAAGCAGCGGATAAGCCTCTCTTCAACCTAGATCAGCTGCCAATGAAGTCATGTGCAGGACTTAATGAATGAGTCTACTCTAGTTTAACAAACCTGCCACCAACTAAGAAAGGGAGATAAAGATTGCTCTTGCAATTCTAGCTGATCAATTCATTTTTATTATAAGGCAAATAATAAGGAAAGTTAGAACAGAATTTCTAGACCCATTTATCCTGTGATGTTTGTAAAATCAAAGCACTACTTTATTAAATGAGTTATTTTACACAATATGAACATCAATATAATTACAATTGTAAAAAAATTTTTATAACAAGGATGGACTGATTTTTCAGATTTCCAAATCAGAGTCAACTGTACATTTACACAGAACTGTCTTTCCATGAAGCCCAAAAGGGAACAGTGTAAAAATGAGTGTTTCTGTAGCCCCTTTATTTTTGCTGATCAACAGTTTGTTTAAAAAAGCAGCTGCAGGTTTGTTACCTAAGGTCTGAGACAGTAGGAGAGTCAAGGTGTCATGAATTCACCTGTAAGATATGGGAAAATCTTCAATAAGTAGAACCATCAACAGATGCAATATATACCATTTCAAATATCTATGATGGAAGACAAATATCTGATGGAAGACAAGTATCTATGATAGAAGTCAGTCTCTGACGGATTTACCTATTGGATATTAAAAACATCATTGATGCAATTACTTTAAAATAATTTTCAAACGCACATGCATACATACCACCGTTTAGGGGGGAAATTAACCTCAATCATACATGAAGTTTAAACTTACAATTTTCAAGCAAGTTTATAAAGTAGATACCTATGTTTTGCTCTTTATTCTAATCCAGAGCTCTGCCTAAATTGTTAAGTAAAATAGCTGCAAACTTGTACTCAAATTAGTCTGCATTATTTCTGGGATGAAGACCCTCAAATACCTTTGAAATAACTGATTTCTGGCAGCTGATGTCTCTCATTCTTGGCCCAAAGTTGGCCAGCATCCAGTCATTCCCCCTATTTTTGGCAAAGTAGTAAAAACCTGGGTGTTTCAAATGGATGGGAAGAAAATGGTCTAGGAAGGACTTTTAACAAAGTATTCTTATAAACTATAAGCAACAATTGTTAAGCTCTGGCAACATAACAAAGTTAAACACTAACTTAAAAAGGAAAGGCACAGAGTCCCTGTAAGAAGTCAGAAATTAACTTGAGCTACAGAATAGACTTTGTTTTTATATCCAAACCCAAGACTCACAAACCAGTAGAAAAAGAGTCAATTACCTGTAAACAACTTTATGCCTGAACATCAGCCAATTCTGGAGGAAGTGGAGTCTTGGGATGTTTACTTTCAAAGTGCTGCTTGAAGGTCTTAGGGTCTGGCATTTGTGTCTAAATAAAAAATTGCACACAAAAAAGAAGAGCCAGACTTTATGTATGAAATGTATGAAACATAACCTTTTAAAACTCTGAACTTATTTGTGCTAGACAATCATCACAGAATGCTTTTAAATTCTTACAACTTACACTAGCATATGAAAAAAGAGCTCATGAAAAGGAAATTTCTGAAAATGTCAGAGAAGAGAAAGTATTTGTTTATCTCACTAATAACAAACAGATGACACATTACATTAAACACGCTCTCTTAATTCTAAGCCCTCCTTAGCTCCTACTGTCACCCTCATTTTACATGATAAACTAAAACCCAGAGCACACTTCACCTGAGAGCTACATTTCAGCCTGAGGTTTTTCTAGTCTCAAATAGCATGTTATAGAGCAATGACTTCCCTTGGCAAGTACCTTCATTTATTCTTCAAAACACTCAATTACATAAAACATGAAATTAAAAGTAGGTTTTGGTTTAAGTTTTAAAAAACGTGCTTTTAGGGGATGGGAAGAGGGCTCAAGGAGGTAAAGTGCCTGCTGCACAAGCACAAAGACCAGAGGTTAGACCCTTAGCACCTACATAAAAGCCAGACGTGGTCACACGTCATAACCCTAGTGTTGGCAGGGCAGAGACAGGGGGAATCCCCAGAGCTCACTGGCCAGCCAGTCTAGGCTCTGGGTTCAGGGGGAAACTGTCTCAAAATGACAAAGCAGAGAACAATAGTGAATGATACCTGACATCAACCTCTGGCCTCCACATGCATGCATACACATGTGTACCTGCACACATATATACTACACACGCATGACATTCCTAAAACTCATTTTTAAACGTCAAAGTATGTCTTATCATTGACCCAGTGAAATTTAATATCACTCTGCCTCTGTCCAAGAAAAATCAGAAGCCATTCAATTTCATTACATTGAGTGTTACCAAACTTCAATATGCTCAAGATATTTGATGTAATGGATTCTCTCTCCAATGATAACTCTTGTTAGCTATGAACTTCTATTTCATTGGTAATGCCTTTAATAGATGATACACTTCAGTCCAGCAACCCTGTCTTACCAAGATCCTTTCTCATCAGCACCATTAATCTTACTCAGGTATAGGGCTTGAAAACATTATGTGTCTATGCACCAGACCAACTCTACCACGCTTTTTATATTTGGGATTTCCATTCATTATCCCAAGGGTAGTGAGCTTATAACAACAGACAAAGAGGCTGACTTAGAATTTCAAACACAATTCTTTGAGAGATGATGTGGAATAGTGGTCCAGAGGCTAACCTCTAAAACCAGATTTAAAAACTAGCTCGTCTTACTAGCTAGATTACCTACAGAAAAACTCCATTCACTTGGCAGTTTATTCTTCTGTACCCTGAGTGAAAGAAGAACTCACTGGCTGTTGCATGGATTAAATGAGTATTATGTAAAACACTTGGATCTGTCCCAGCACATAATAAGCTATGTGTTATTATTCTTCAAAAAATACACAAATTCTATTACGAGCCCTAAACATGAATATACTCCACATGTATTATATTTACCCTAATCATAGATCTAGTGGCGAAGGGAAACTAAGTAAATTATAGAACATTATATTTACTAGCACCAAAGTTGAACCTTATCCACACAAGACTGTAGATGTGACTTCCTTACAAGGTTCAAAGTATATCACATGTTTTCATTCTCCATAAGGAAAGGGACTTTGTTTTATACAAGTTTTTTCCCTAGCATATAGAGAAATGTGTGTGCCATAGGAACCATCCAAAAAATGTTTCTTGAGTGACTAAAAATGATTCATAAAACAGCTATCAAATCTACAATTTCTCATAAACCATTTTGCTATACCAAAAATAGTAGTAATTTAACCTATACACATCTATGCACAGGGCTTTAAGAACTGTTTGCAAGAAAGCAATGTCTTCCGGGTCCCCTTACCCTACAGACTGTGCAGGTATAGATTAAGGCAGCTTTGGCAGCAGCCTTCTGGTCATGACCTTGTTTCTTCTTTTGTCCAGCCTGCTTTTTGGCATTTTTCTGCTGAGACTGAATCTTCTGCTGTCCACGAGCCATTTGGAAGAATTATTCTAAAACAGAGTAATTAAAGCACAGTAATATTCTGAGTCAACTACATATTACAGAAATGTTTAGCAAGTGATGTGAGTGGATTCTCAAACTCACAATGCTGATAGGTTATGAACTAGTACAACTACTGTAGAAATATGGCTTATGTTAGTTGTCTACACCATGACCTAGCAATTTTCCTCTTGGTACATGTGCAAAAGAAATAAAATGTGTGTACTACAGAGTACCTGTTCCAAAAGTAGACATTTCAAATACCCATGAGTTGTAAAATGGATATAAAACACACACACACACACACACACACACACACACACACACGGAGGGGGGATGCTAGGCAACATTCAAAAAGAATTTTTTCTACAAGTTGGTATCTCAGTGTCAAAGGAAATTCAGCAGTTAGGAAGAAATGCATTGTGCAAAGTTCAAAATAGGCAAAACTATAGTTAAAGAGGTCACTTTGCTATTTATGGAGTAATGACTGGGAAGAGGTGATAGGACAGGGATTCATGGGATGCTCAGTGTTCTGTATCTTGAACCAGGTAATGATTACAAAGTATGTTTATTTAAAAAAAAAAAAATCAATGGACAGAGCTACACACAGTGGTGCTAAGCCTCTATTCACAGCAACTGGGAGGCAGAGAGAGGTGGCTTTCATATTCCAGGCCAGCCTGCACAACAAAGCAAGACCCTGCTTTCCCCCCAAAAAACACCCAATAATTTATTGAGCTGTATGTTTACCTAAGATTTTTTTTTTTGCTTTACTCTATGTAACCTTTAAAAGCTTGGCACAACACAATTTAGTCTCCCCTTATCACTTGACTACAAAGGTTCTTCCTCCCAGTATCCAATGCTGTGACTTACAATAGTAAGAAGTGCCACTAATCTTTCTAGAGATCATAGGGATAAGGGGGAAAAAACCCAACAACTTGTTTTTGAGACAGGGCCTCACTAAGTAACCTTGGCTGGCCTGAACTATGTAGATCAAGCCCTCAAACTACAGAGATCCATCTGCTTCTGCCTACCTCCCGAGTGCTGGGATTAAGGGTGTGCACCACCAGGCTCATTGAAACTGTTCTTTTATAAACTGTTCGTGAAACTACTATACTATTTCAAAATTCCCTAAAAAGTAGTTATTTCTTGTATGGTTACACAGGGAGTACATTTATTTATCATGTGTACACACAGGAGCTTGCTGTGGCACAAGTGCAGAGGTCAGTGGAAAACTGGTATGAGTCAGTTCCCTCCTTCCGCCATGTGGGTCCTGGGGATCCAACTCAGATCCTCAGGCTTGGCAGCCAAGCACCTTTACCTAAGCTATCTTGCTGGCTCAGCTGCACAAATTATAAAGTGAGAACAAATTAGTTCTCATCTGAGAATGAACCCAGTATAAAACTTTTTACAAAGTTGACAAGTACTATTCAGTACTGATGGCCTCAACTGAACAAGAGCTAAAACAACTGTCAGTGGAAAAAGTTAGTTTTACTTCCTCATTAAAACCAAAAACTTCTAGTAGACAAATCAAACCTGTTCATAAAGGGTCTAAAATGAGACTCAAGTGCTTTTGAAAAATATTAAATTATTAAAATATATTAAACATTGAACCCTGAGTCCAATTTCTGTCATTTTGAATAGCACTGTAATTACATTTTAAACTTTAAAATCACTGCAAGACATGAACATACAAGGATCTTACCAGAAAGGGCTATAAAGCCAAAAATATTTCACAGAAACAACTGAGATTCCTTCCCCATTCTCCAAAGAAAAGGGAAACTGAATAAACACACACTTAACTAGACACATTCCACAATATCACGCATTGAACTGAAAGTCTGCTAAGATGTTCAAGAGGATGAATGTTTTTCTAAAAAGCCAGTCAAGTATCTTACCAACTACAAAATGTGGAATGTGTTAGCCTAGAGAACTTCAATCTCATAAAGCATAGGTAAATACTGTTTTTTTTTAAACCAAAGCCTTATTAATTCAGAATCAAACGGCACTATATTTTAAAAGCACATTTTGATGGTAGGTGTTCAATCTATGTGTATACAACACTGTGCAACATTCTTCATGTCCCAGCATCGTAGTATCAGAAACTTGTCAGACTACTTGGGTTCTCTTGCATCTTAACTCTTCCAAACAATGCGTTTATATACGAAGACATTACTTTTGGGGCCAGTCCTTAACGGGAATATGTTTCAAAAAAAAAGTTACAAAATAGCCCATCATTAATTCCAGAAGTTTCCTTGCTACCTAGAAGTTAATATGGTTATTTTGTAACATTTTCAGGCAGTGTACTGTAAACGAAACGTCATCAGATGAACAAGATTATTTTTAACTTTTGCATTTAGGGCTCTTCCTAAACTATATTACGCAATAGATTTAGCATATTTTCCATGTCACCTAACAGTAGCAACAATTTAAAAAAACCAAAAAAAAAAAAAAAAAACCTACCGGTTTTAATAAAAGGTACTAATCATTTGGGTTTTGTTGTTTTTTTAAGCCAGAAAACATAACACTACGTAAAGGAAACTGTATCTAGCTGCGTGGGGTAGGCCCCTGACTTCTGACAGCACACTGGCACGAATTTCCTTTCCGAAAGCCAAAATGCAAACGAACCAACCACCTGCTTTTGGACAGCTCAACTTAGGATTTGCTCTCAATGACCCTATTCAATTTTCGGCAAATTTTCACATATAACCGCCCCCTGATTAAATGCAACAAACTGAAAGGCAATAAATCATTTGCAAATAGCTACCCGCTGCTTTTTTAATGAATGATTTTTTTAAATGAAACTTTTAGCTTTCCCAGCGGGCTGGGAGGGGGGACTGCAAAAGAGTTAAGGAAAAGGACTAAACAGTTCTTTGAAATGAGAGAGCTCTAGCAGAAGGCAACAAGTAAGCCCCTGCCATAAAGAGCCTTGTAAAACAAAACAACTTACTAGGATTTGGGATCCAGGAAGTAGGCTCATTTCTCTGTAAGCATCCAGAAAGGAAGAGGCCCAGGTAGGGCTGCACAGCCTAACCCTGGCTTTGAACCTTACACTAGTCTGCGGCCCGCGGAGGGAGGCCTCCCACGCCCTCCACCCCAACCTGCAGTCCCGTTCTCTTCCCGCCCTGCACCGAGGCCTGCCCGCCCGCATCCATCCCGGCCGGAGCTGCGCCTGCCTCAGACCTGGGCGACCCAGCGCCTGCTCCACCGGCAGCAGCTGTTCGGTTGGGTGACCGCTGCGCTGTGCAGCCGGCCACCTGCACCGGCCTCCCGCCCGCGCTCGCGCCCTGCTGCCTCGCCGCCCTGGTCCCCAGCGTCCTGCGGCGTCAGGGCCCACCCCGCCGCCGCTCACCCGGGCCGGGGACAGGCTGGCCGTCCGAGAGTCCGCGAGGCGCGACAGGACGAGCACGGAAGGACGGGGAGAGCGCGCCCAGCACCGCCTCGGCCTCCTCCGCCCGCCAAGGAGGGGAAAGGAGAGCCGGCAGCACAACAACCCGCGCCTCGCACACCCGCCGCAGCGCGCGCCCGCCGCCGCCTGAGCCGGAGGCAGACTCGTCCGCTGGTGCCCGCGCACGCGCCGCGCTGCGCTCCCAGTCGCCTCCGCGCCGCTAGCCCTCTCGAGGCCCCGCTCCTTTGCCTTCCTGTGTCGGCCCCGCCCGGCTCGCACGCCCCCGCCCTTCCGGTCCCGCGGGCCAATGGCAGCTCGCTACTATTACATAAGCGCGAAGGGGCGGGGCCCGCAGAAGGGAACTGCGGTGACGTCGCCCTCTGCCTGGCCTTGCTCTTCCCTTCCGGTGTGCTTGCTTTCCGCCGGGTCGTGGTGGCGCGTGACCCGGGTCCTGGCGGGCGATGGGCCGCGTAGGAGCTTGCCAGTGGCCCGTCTGTCGGCTTGCTTGCCCTGCCGCCGGCCTGCCTTCGGGCCTCGACGCCCTCACGAGTTTCCCTGGCCGGCGGCTCTCGCCCGGGCACCCGCTCAGTCGCCTGCCGGGGAGACGCGCCGGGCACCCCTGGGCCGCCTGCGTCCGTGACCCCCTCGCCGGGCTCGCGCCTTTGTTCTTTCACCAGCTGTTCCCTGCTTCGGGCCCCAGAAACCTCGGTTATTTTGACCAACTTGGGACTTGTTCGGAGTTGGAGATTTAAGCCTGACAAGCGCGTTAAATTCCCACCAGGGCTCTTGGCCTATGTAGGCTGGGTCCCTACTAGATTGCGAATATGTGGGGAAAGAGTAAAAGGGCTCCCCCCACCCCTCGATTTACAGGCTTCTTCAAACACCTGATTAAGAGCAATTGTAAATCCAGCAGTGACTACATTTACTAACTTACTGATTATTAGAAATGGCATTGTAAATACCAGCTGTATTCCACGTTGTTACCCTCCTACCTCTGACACACTGGTTTCTAACTCGGTATATTGCACTTGTGGCTGTACTTCTTTGTTTTTGTCGGTTTGGGTTTTTTTCAAGATAGGGTCTAACTGTGTAACAGACTGATTTTAAATAAGTGTAGTCCAGGTTGGCCTAGCACTCCTGATCCTCCCACCGCCAACTCTCAAAGCATCTATGCCCAGCTCTTGTTTTCCAGTTGATGTTCTCAACTGACCCCATAGCCTTGAATCTCAAATTTGCCTGTCAGTGCCCAGGGAATGTTAGTTGAACATGAGTAGGTTCCAACTTCTGTGATACAGTTGCCACAGAATTGCTTAAACTACCCAGGAAGGAGTTAGCTTTGGGTGAGATACAGTGTTAAGTGCAACGTAGCAATGCAGTGATTTGAGAATACTGCCTCCTCATCCTGATTCAGTCTCTCACGCCTTTGTTGAAAAGTAATTATATGTTGATATTTTGTTAATGTGGATGGTAATAGGTTGTAAGCTCATTGACTAGCAGCAGGCTTAAAAACATTGTAGATATTGACCAAATGAATGGAATGCATCCCAACTGAGCTCAGTTTTAAACTGACACCATGTAGCAATAGTGTAACCATTACAGTTATCATTGTTAACTGACATTGTTAACAATGTTAACATTGTTATTCTGACTCAGTGTGGGAATGAGGTACTTAGAAGACCTACAGATTGGAAATCCAAAAATCTGTGTGCCTGGCTAAGAACGACGATGGTGGAAAGGGACAGTAAAATCTGGCTGGCAGACCTGTCATCCTTACTAGAAAGGTGGCTTCCGTTGTGAAGTAGGATTAGTATGCTGCTTTTTTTAAACCACAGCCTAGGTGAGATATTCATAAAAACCAGTGTTCCTTGAGTTTTTGAGTCGTGTCTCCTTTGAGAACTTGGTAAAAGCTACAGACTTGGCAAAGACTACTGAAATGCCTATTTAAATTCATGCCCTCAGAAAATTTATATGTAAAAATACTCCGTAGGTAGAGCTCTCAGTCTAGCCCCACTGAAACTTTGGAAGTCTGTCTTGAGAATTGGAGATGCTCGGTGTTACCCCAACTTCTGTGGGATACCTTCTACCTGCCTGATGCCTTAGTACCCTGGTTTCATTTGTGACAAGCATGTTTGACGTTACTGACAGATGTTCTCTAGGGATCAGCTCCCGTTTAAATGCCACTCATAGAGAGTATGGCATGACGGTCATTTTATGTGTTGATTAGGGCATTTAGAAAAGGGGAGGGAGTGAAAAAGAATGGACAAGATTGAACACTCAGGTAATGACAACCAGTGAAAGGCAGGTGCATTAGCTTTGCTGTCACTTGTGTCCTGCTTAGGTTACAGGGTGGGACAGCAAATGTAGTATGAACTTGTCCATTAACAGTTTCTCTGTTAATATGCAATAAGCACTTGGCTGATTTTCTATTTAAAATTAAAATAAGATGAAAATGCTTCTCTGAAGATGTCAGAGACTAATCGGTATACACATTGGGTTTTCTAGGATGATAGTAACTAGCATATTATTTCTCAATAGATAGATTATTTTAATGACTTTTTCAATTTATCTGTGGCTGGTAAGTTGATGATGAAATGTATAAAGGTGGCACAGGGGTTTATGACAAAACAAGAGAAAAGGTCCAAGCTGAGCATAGTGGTTCACACTGAATTCTTAGCATGCAGGAGATTGAGGTAGGAGGATAACCACAAGTTTGAGGCCAGCCTGGGCTATGTAGTGAGCTCTAGGACAGCCTGAGCTACAGAGTCAGAACCTGTCTCAAAAAACACCGCAGAAAGAGAGAAGGCCCTGTTCCTGTAGAGTCTTCAACCCAGTGTCAAGAGCAGTGCTAATGACAATAAACTAGGAACATTTCCTTTGCCAGCTGCCCTTCCTCTATACAGGTTCTGCTTGGGGTTTCCCAATCCTTTTGTCTTTGCTCCTTCTTTGAAGAAATTTCATGCACCGTGTGGCTTTGAAAATCAAACTTGGGGCGACTCCTATATTTCTATCTTCAGTTCTGACTTTTCTTCTGAGTCCATATGGACATTTCCAGATGACCATTGCCTACTTCTGCCTTGATGCTTTACACACATTTCACATTTAGTATCAATTGTTTTGACTCTACAAAACCATTGATTGTAAATAATATTTATGTCCAATAAGATTTTTTTAAAATGCTGCCAACTGAACAGTGCTAAAGTACTCTTAATGTAAGATAAATCTAGATTCAGTGAGATTAAAAATAGGTTTAAACAGTAGTTTAGTAGAATAACACCAAAATGAAAGGACTACTTAGGTGTGGACTTATCAAGAGGAGCATAAAACTTGTGTTCTGAAACCAAGCCATTGTGAAAGAAATTAAAGAAGACCTAAGTAAATGAAAAGGCACACCAAGTTTGTAGATCAGAAGATTCAGGATAATACAGATGGCAATAAGTTTCAAATCTATCTACACATCCAGTGTAATCCCTAACAAAGTCCCACTGACATCTTTGCGTAAACTGAAATGCCTATTTAAATTCATGGAACCAAGAAGAGCCAAAGTAACCTTGAAAGAAAAACACTGGAAGACTCATACTTCTCAATTTCAAAACTTACTACAAAACAACGGTAATTAATACAGTGTGGCGTGGCAGAAGAACAGTCATACACATTAACAGGATAGAATGCAAAAGTGAATAAACATTTACATCTTTAGCTGTATTACTTTCTATTACTTTTCTAGTTCTTGTGACAGACTACCTGGTAAAAGCAATTCAGGAAGGAAGGGTTTATTTTGGTGTTCTGGTCAAGGGTGCAAGTCCTTCACCATGGTGAAGGCATATGTATGCAGGAGTGTGAGGCAGCTGGTCACATTGCATCTGCAGCCAGGAAGCAGAGAGATGAATGCTGATGCTCAGCTCACTGTCTCCTTTTTATTCAGTCTAGGCCCTCAGCCCATAGAATGGTGCCGTCCACATTTAGGGTTAGTTTTCCCACCTCAATTTAATAATCTAGAAAGTCCCTCACAGATACTGCTAGAGTTTGCATCCCAGGTAGTACTAGATAGGATTTAGAATAGGCGGGTCTATAGAGATGGAAAGTAGCAATTGCCTAAGGCTGAAAGAACTGGGAGAAAATGTGAGGTTACTGGTAAGGGTTGCAAGCTTTTTTTTAAAGGATGATGAAAATGCTGGAAAGTTGTTGGGGACCCCTGCTGTTAGGGTCACAGTCTCTCCATGTCCAGATAGCCACAAGCCGGCAAGCCGGCTCGGCGCATAATGGAAAGACTCCCCTTTTCAGCAGGGCGCCTCCTACTCTCTTCCTGACTCACCTTTGAAGTGCCGCCACAGATACATGACCTCTGGCATAGAAACTACCAGGTTTTTTATAATCAGGCATTGTCTGACAGCCTGACTGATAGAAGCCCACTGCCTCATGTAAATAAAGCATCCTACAGAGCACCTATCAGCTGAGGCTTTTGCTACTGCCTCCACACTATAAATCTTCTAGTTTCACCGTAATAAAGCGGAGCTGTATCACTGAATTTGTCTGGAGCTGTATCACTGAGATCATTGAACTTGGCTGATCTGTGTCTCACTGCGGAGGAGCTGTCCCCCGTCAACATTCACTCGCGAAGCTTCTGCGTTCGCCGTTCCTGCACCTCCCCTGCCCTCGTGGTTCGGTGGCCAACAACTGCGGGCACAGGGGGAGCCTCCCGCAGCTTGGCGCAGAGCCCCCTGCAGATTGGTGCAGCCCACCCGGCAGCTTGCAGCGACCCACAGAGCCACCAGCGCCTGGCAGCCTGTCTTGGCGCAGAACCTGCACTCCCCGCTGCGGACCCACCGATCTGCAGAGCCCGTCTGCACTCCCAGCTGCGGAGAGCCAGAGACCCGCCCAGCAGCGCGAGACGACCCGCACACCACAACAGAAAGTGATTATAGTGATGTCACACAACTATGCTGAAACAGATTGAGTTTGTACACTTTAAATAAATGAAGTACATGTTTTTTGCATTGTACATCAATGATGCCTTTACAGAAAAACGTGATTTAGAAAAATAAAAAGTGAGATCTCAACTACTACTCTACTGTTTTTCCCAAATCTACTTCTCACTTAGTCTGTCCTGCCTCAGGAAATGGCACTTCCACTCCCTGGGGCAGCCATTTGGAGGCCTAATGGTTAGTTCTGGCTTGGCCCTGTTTCTAGTCCCTAGCCCCCACTTCTACCAAGCCATGTTGGTTCTACTCCA